AGAGACAGAGACAAGAGACAGAGAGAGAGAGACAGAGAGAGAGAGAGACAGAGACAAGAGACAGAGACAGAGACAAGAGACAGAGAGAGAGACAGGAAGTGACCTAAAGAAATAGACAAAAATATACATACTCAAAAAGAGAGAGAGAGAGAGAGAGAGAGAGAGAGAGAGAGAGAGAGAGAAACAGAGATAGAGACAGAGAGACAGAGAAAGAGAGTACCAACGATATAGATATATGTCTGATACTTAGGATGCAAGTGTGGCCCCTTGGGAGCAAAATTGCAATGTGTAGATAATCAGAAAATAATATATATATAATTTTATTTAAAATTATCATCTAAAATAAGTATGTAATTTTAATCTGTGTGCCCAGGACATACTAGCATGTCTATCATCAGTGAATGAAAAGGTTTATGAATGATAGTTGGTATGAAAGTAGGAGCAGTACTCCAAGGACATTCCTGAGGCATCTTTTGTGATTTTGATCTTGCTTCAAAGAAGTAAAGGAAAAAGAGGGGGGAGATGGATAAGAATAAGACTGGCATGGTTCTGGTCTTGCAGAAAAAACTAGAACCAATCCTCATTCGCAGAGATCTTGCTGAACTTAGGTGCTAGGGAAGAAACTTAGGGTTTGGGTGTGTAGCTCACAGGTAGAGTGCTTGCCTAACATGCACAAGGCCTTGAGATTGATCTCTAGCACTGCAAAAACAAACCAACCCCCCCCAAACAATAAAACAAGAGATAATATAAGAGGGATGACTGTCATCCCTTCTTGGTCTAGAAATAAAAAGATTACCTGAAGGTGTAAGAGAGGAGGTGAAGAGCAGATGACATTTGTATTTGGAAAGGAAAGCACCAAAGAGTAACTCAGGATCTAATTCTATTCCTTTCCAGCTCTAGAGAAACTCTTACATCCACATACAGGATCTCTTTCTGCATCCTGTGTCCCATGCCCTTGCATCTACTTTAATTCCATTTTCACCTGGCCTACTTTCAAGGGCCTTTCATACTGGGGTCTGGTTTCATCTTCCATAGATGCTATCCCTGACATTCCCAGTTTGCTCGGATATCATTGTCTCTGTCTCATGCACTCTGTGTTCATCCCTGCCAGCACCATCTGTCTACCCAATAGATGGAAGCTCCATGATTGTAGGATCTTGGATCCTCAGTACCTACCACAAAGCCTGGGATGTGGTCAGCTATAAAAGTTTATAGAACAACTGGTGGTGGGGTAGGCAGGCAATGCAAGCAGAAGAAACTGCCAAATGCTTAGAGGGAATCAAGGGAGAGGAGAGAAATGGATAAAGAAAATATGGTCTCTCTATATATGATCGACTTTTATTCAGCCACAAAGAAAAATGAAATTATATCATTTGCAGGAAAAAGTGGATGAAATTAAAGACCATTATGGTAGGCGAAATAAGACAAACTGAAAAAATCAAGTGAAGGTTATATATTTTTTCTCACATGTGGAATCTAGAGAAGAAAAAGGAAAATAAAGGTGGGGGCTTGGGATCTCATGAAAACCAAAAGGAGATCAGTAGAGGAAAAAGTCGGAGGGATGGGAGGAGGGAAGAGAGGGGGAATGCTGGGGAGTGATGTCAGTCAATCAATATTGTTACATTGTGCACATGTACAAACATGTAACAACAAATGTCATCATTTATGCACAACTATAATGTACCAATTAATGTACCAATTAAAAAATATTGCAAGAGACGAAAAGAGAGAAAGAGAAGAGAGGAAGACTATTGTAAAACAGTGAGATGGGAGTTTGAAATTAGTGATGGGCAAGCTTTAGAGGCCATCTTGTCTTTTTAAAAAAAATTCTTTTAGTTGTAAATGGACATAATACCTTTATTTTATTTATTTATTTTTATGTAGTATTGAGGATCAAACCCAGAGACTCACACATGCTAGGCAAGTGCTCTACCACTGAGCCCCAGCCCCAGCCCAAGAGGCCACCTTGTCTTGAATAGCCAGGAAAAAAGATCTGAGACCTGTAAGCCATTCTTCTTCCCAGGCCCCATTCCTCTCTTTGGGAGGTTTGGTCCAGTTTCAGATATCTTAGCCTTCTTGGCACTGGTGGCCCCAATTTTGTCCTTTGAAATGGAGCTGGGTATATTGCACACACACAGAATCCCAGAGCTCAGCTTCTGGGATTATATGTAAGAGTATTGCTTGAGCACAGAAGTTCAAGGCCAACCTGGACCACACAGAGAGACCCCAAAAACAATGGAGGAAGAAGAGGAGGAGGAGGAGTCCTCCTCTTAAGAAACATTTTTGATTCACAGTCGGTTGAATCTGTGGATGTGGAACCCATGAGTTCAGAGAGCTGGCTGTATCTCCAAACATACCTCAAATGGGTCCACTTCATCCTTATGGCCTCACACTAATCCACATGCTCATCACCTCTGTTTCCCTCCAATTTATTTTCCACAGAGCAGCCCAGTGATGTTTTAAAAACCTAAGTTAAGTGGAGGAAGTTGTGTGTGGATGGGGGCAGGAGGGATATGAGAAATCTCTGTGTCTTTGTTCAGTTTTGTGTGAACATAAAACTGTTCTAAAAAATAAAGTTGGGGGGCTAGGGTTGTGTCTCAGTGGTAGAGCACTTGCCTAGCATGTATGAGGCACTGGGTTCAATCCTTAGCATCACATAAAAATAAATAAATAAACTAAAGATATTGTGTCCATCTACAACTAATTTTTTTTTTAAATAAAGTTGGGGCTAGGGGTAAAACATTGTATTCATCATGCATGAGGGGTCCTGGATTCAAAAACCAGCAAAACACACACACACACACACACACACAGTATATATGTATTTTATTTTATTTTTGTGGTAACTTGGAATTGAACCTAGTGGTGTCCTACCACTGAGCTACATTCCCAGTCCTTTTTTTAAAATATTTTTTTCAATGGAAACCTTTATTTTTTTTATTTATATGTGGTGCTAAGAGTTGAACCCAGTGCCTCACAGGTGCTAGGCAAGCGCTCTATCACTGAACCACCACCCCAGCCCTTTCCCAGTCCTTTTTATTTTTGATTTTGAGATAGGGTTTCACTAAGTTGCTCAAGCTGGCCTCAAACTTGCAATCCTCCTACCTCAACCTCTCAAGTAGCTGGGATTGTAGGCATGTATCCACCATGCCTGGCTCAAAAAAATAAAAAGTTGTTTTGAAAAAGCCTTTAAAAAACAGGGCTGGGGTTTTGGCTCAGTGGCAGAGTGCTTGCCTCACATGTGTGAAGGCACTGGGTTCAATCCTCAGCACCAGCGAGGCACTGGGTTCAATCCTCAACACCACATACAAATAAATAAATAAATAAAAGTATTATGTCCATCTACAACTAAAAATTTTTTTAAAAAAACAAATCAGGGGCTGGGGATGTGGCTCAAGTGGTAGCGCGCTTGCCTGGCATGTGTGAGGCACTGGGTTCAATTCTCAGCACAACATAAAAATAAAAATAAATATATTGTGTCCACCTAAAACTAAAAATAAATTATAAAAAAAAACATAAATCAGATCATATTGCTCTCTTCCCTTTTCAAAACTCTTCAAAGTCTTCCCATTACTCTTAGAATAAAATCTAGGGCTTGGGGTATATGTCAGTTGTAGATCCCTTGCCTAGCACGCACGAGACCCTGGGTTCGATCCTCAGCACCACATAAAAAAATAAATGAGCGAAATAAAGGTATTGTGTCCAACTACAACTATAAAATAAATATTTTTTTAAAAATCTAGCTGGGTGGAGTGACACATACCTGTAATCCTAGTGATTCAGGAGGCTGAAGAAGGAGGATCCTAAATTCCAGGTCAGTGTCAGCAACTTAATGAGACCCTGTCTCAAAACAAAAAAATAAAAAGGGTTGGAGATATTGCTCAATGGTAGAGCACTTGCCTACTATGTGTGAGGCTCTGAGTTCAATTCCCAGTATAGCAAAAATTAATTGATTGATTAACTAATTAAAATAAAATCTAGATCCCAAGGCTTTGGTTGATCTGATCTTGCCTATCTCATTTCCTATTCACTAGACTTGCCCTCTACACTAAATTTTTTCTTCTGATAGGCTTTCGAGTCACAGTGCAGTATACCACCTCCTAGGAGTATCTTCCTGATAGCTTGATTCTGGGTTAACCCTCATATTCTCCTAATATCACATCAGTCTGCATTTCCTTCAAGGCCTTTAGTATAGTGATAATTATTCTATGTATCATTTATTTATGTCACTGTCTCCTTTACTATAATGTGGGATTTCTGTATTTTCTAAGAATAGAAAGGATCTTTGTGCCTTATTCACTTTGACACCTCAGAACCTTTTATAGCACCAAGCACACTGTAGGTGCTCAATAAATGTTTGTTGAAGAAATTAATGAACCTGCATATTTTATTGTAAACTAGAAATATTTTAGAAGACAATTCACAGAAGTGCTAACCAGCACTGGATTTATCATGGCAGTTCTTGTGTACTTTTCCTTGTCCTGGCCAGATGTTAAAGAAAGAAACTCAAGATATCATAGAGCCCAGTGGGGAGTGGTGGTGTAAGCTTGCAGTCTCTACTACGCCAGAGGCTGACGCTGGAGACCTCTTGGGCCCAGGATTTCAAGGCCAGTCTGGGCAACATAGGGAAATCCTCATCTAAAAAAAGAAAAATCTATTTGGGTCAAATACACAGGTGAACTGCTGGTTACTGGGGAATGTATATATTTAATGTGCCTAAGTACTTTCACTGGTGGGGGGACCAAGAAGAAAGCATTTTAGAAAGATCTTTCTAGCTGCATTCCTTCATTCAGTCAAACATTCACTGGTTATGTCTAAGGTGCCTGGTGTGGTTTTAGGTGCTGAGAAAACAGCAGTGAGCAAGATAGACAAGATCCAAAACTTACAGATTATAAACAAGAAAATAAGAATATGAAAATACCAAGGACTAATAAAGACAATAGTGAAAATAAAGCAGGGTTCTAAGGCAGAATGATTTGAGGAGTTGCTTTACTGGTGTGATACTTCATGGAAAATGGATCTGAGGGTCCTCTGGAAGTAAGGAAGTCAGGTAGGCAGAGGGTACTGTGGTGATGCAGGTGAGAGACACTGATGGTGTGAACCAGGGAGGGCAGGAGGGGATGAGGAGAAATAAACAGAGGTGACAATGTAGAACTGACAGGACCTAGAGTCAGTGAGACATTAGATGTAGGGAAGGAGAGTCTGGTATCAAGGCTGATTCTCAGTCTCTGCATCTAGATGTGGTGGTTCCCTTTACTAACATAAGGGACCCTAGAGATTTCCAGCTATCAATTGGCCATCAGGGGTCTGGAGCTTGGGAGGGTGTCTAGGATGCAGGCATATTAGGAAGTCATCTGAAATTGGGTTGTGTATGGGTTCCTATGGTTTCCCTAAGAAATGCCATAAACCTGATAAATAACAGAAGAAATTCACTCACAGTTCTGAAAGATAGAAGTCTGAAGTTAAGATGTATGCAGTTATTTGTTCTCCCTCCAAAGCTTAAAGAAGAGGATCCTTCCTTGCTCTTCCAGATTCTGGTAGCCCCAGGAGTTCCTTGGCTTGCAACAGCCAAGACTTGGTGCTCAATACTCCATAGCCAACACCTTCCATATTTTACCTGTTCAAGACTTCAGTGTCTCATGGCTGTCTCCCCATGTATCTCTAACCTCACACGGAGGTTCCCTTTTATAAGAGGAAATGACGTCATATTAACCCAATGACATCTGCAAAGACTGTATTTCTGAATAAGGTTACATTCACAGGTATTTACATTTTAAAACTTCAAAACACACACACACACACACACACACACAGATAAAATAAAGGCAGGTGTGATGGCACATATCTTTAATTCCAGTGACTTGGGAGGCTGAGTCAGGAGGATTGCAAGTTCAAGGCCAGCCTCAGCAATTTAGCAAGACCCTAAGCAACTTATTGAGATCCGGTCTCAAATATAAATAAAAATAAAAAGGTCTGGGGATGTAGTTCAGCAGCAGAGCACCCATGATTACTGAGGGTTCAGGGATCAACCACTGTACTACATCCCCAGCTCCTCAACATTTTGGGGGAGCTACTGAGGATACTGAAGGGTTCTCCATCACCAAGCTACATCCCTGCCTTTTTTTTTTTTTGGTACCTGGGACTAAACTCAGGAGCATTTGACTACTGAGCCACATCCCCAGCCCTATTTTGTATTTTATTTAGAGATAGGGTCCCACTGAGTTGCTTAGTGCCTCCCTGTTGCTGAGGCTGACTTTGAACCCTCAATCCTTCTGCCTCAGCTTCCCAAGCCTCTGGGATTACAGGCATGCGCCATGGCACCCAGTTAATTTAATTTTATATTTTGGTACCAGGAAATGAACCCAGGGGCGCTGAACCACTGATCCACATCCCCAGCCCATTTTATATTTTATTTAGAGATAGCATCTTGCTAAGTTGCTTAGGGCCTCTCTAAATTGCTGGCTTTATACTGGAAATCCTTCTCCCTCGGCCTCCCAAGCCACTGGGATTATAGGCATGTCCACATCATCTGGACCTTTTTATATTTTATTTTAGTGAGGGTCTCACTAAATTTCTGTGGCTGGCCTCGAACTTGTGATTGGCATTACACCTGCACCACCATGCCCAGCCATTGTTTTTTTCTTTTGAGATGGGGGTCTCCCTACATCAGTGAGGCTGGCCTCAAGCTGACTGTTACTTATGGTCTAAAACAATAGATAATACCTCCTGCCTCTGCTTCAAGAGCAGCAGAACTAGAGGCATGCATTACCCCTGCCCAGCTCAATATTTTTTGTGGGGATGTAACTCAACCCCTATCATGTCATATCTGAAGTAGAGTAACACACCAAGAAAGAGGTTAAATTGAGTTAGAAGAACCGTGACTCAGGCCTGCAAGTAGAAGACTGAGGTGACTATGAGGTGGCTAAGACTGAGTCTTGCATTTGCCACATACACAGAGGTAGAGTAACAGGGAAAAAATGTGTCCCTTGAACTGGGTAATATCACTGATGTTAGTATCTCTCCTGAATGTGGAGCCAAAGGAAGTAGCAGAAGCTGAGTAATAGAAACAGTCTTTCAGAATTTTACTTTGAAAGAAAAAGTCCGACATATGGAAAGATCTTAGAAGGGGATATGAGGCAAAGGAATTGTTGAGAAAGATGAAAAATGTAGTCTCAGGGGCTGGGGCTGGGGCTCAGTGGTAGAGCGCTTGCCTTGTGCGGGTGAGGCACTGGGTTCCATCCTCAGTACCACATTAAAATTAAATAAATAAATAAAGATATTGTGTCCATCCACAACTCAAAAAAAATTTTTAAATGTAGTCTCAGCATATTGAAAGGAGGCTGGTAACTTAGAAACTGGGTTCTGGAGTTATACTGATTGGTATTTACATTCTAGCTTGGTTTGTTCCCACCTGTAACATTAGGCTGGCCACTTCAATTCATTAAAACTTAGTTTCCTTTTCCTTAAAATAGGGATGGTTTTATTTAAATTAAAAAAATAGTTATAGATGGACACAATACCTTTATTATATTTATTCATTTTTATATGGTATTGAGGATTGAACCCAGTGCCTCACACATGCTACACACTGAGCTACAACCCTGGCCCTATTTTTTAAAATTTTTTATTATTTTTGGGGTACTGGGGATTGAATGGAGAGGCACTCTGCCACTGAGCTACATCCCCATTCCTTTTTATTTTGAGACAGGGTCTTGCTGAAGTTACTTAGGGCCTTGTTAAGTTGCTGAGGCTGGCCTCAACATGCGATCCTCCTGCCTCAACATGTGATTCTCCTTTAAGTTGCTGGGATTGCAAGCGTGCACCCCTGCACCTGGTGATGATTTTAATAGTATCCACTTCCCAAGATTATTTTAGTGACTAAATGACAAAATGCATATAAAGCACTTAGCATACTGTATCACACATAGTGAGTGCTCAATAAATGGTAATTCTTACTATTACGACTAGGTTAAAAAAAAAAAAAGTTCCAAGAAAGAGGTGGCAAGTTATGATATCAGATATGGCGGATGGGACCAGGAGGTGGGAGGTGGAGAAAAGGTCAAGTATTTGGCAGAGTGCTCGCAGAGACAGCAAAGAGGGGAGGGCAGGGATAAGAGCAGCTAAGAAGTAAATGGGCAAGGAGAAGCCAGAGTTTGCAGGTATGGAACACTCTAGCAGCTGAAAAATGAGAGCAGATATTAGAGGAAAGGAGAGGGAAAGTGATTTGGGATGCAACAAGAAAGTTGTAGGGGAAAGTTGCTTGGGAGTATGTGGTGGTAGGAAATAGGGGTGACACTCTCTCTTGAATCTTTCAAATATTATTTCAATTTGATACTATATATCTTCACCTTTGCTGTGCTAACCCAGGGCACCCAGGGGAGACTCCTACAAATAAGGAATGGGCACTAAAGGATGAGTGTTTGTGGATGAATAGTGATGAATTAACTCAATGAGGAGAGAGGAAAAAGAATAACTTAAACCTGGCCTTGTTGAAGTTCAGAAGCCTGAGGAGCAATTGGCTAGAAAGTACTGGTCTTAGAATCTGGTAGGAAGTGAGAAGGCTTCAGGGCTGGAGACAGGTTTAAGAGCCATCAGAAAGTGGTCTGTTGGCTAAATGCTTGAACTTTTCTCCACCTCCCACCTCCTGGTCCCATCTGTCATATCTGATATCATTACTTGCCACCTCCTTCTTGGAACCTCTTTTTTTTTTTTTTAACCTAGTCGTAATAGTAAGAATTACTATTTATTGAGCACTCACTATGTGTCATAAAGTATGCTAAGTGCTTTATATGCATTTTTGTCATTTAGGCACTAAGAGCCAGGGGGATGGATAAATGACCTTGAGATGATAGGAGAACATGATCTGGAAATATTGGGGTTGGTGGAGGACAAGTCACAAAAGGAAAGACATGAGAAGATGCGTGAAGCTCTGACAAGTCACTTGATGGAGTCCAAAGAAAACCAAAAGTCATGCACTCACTGAATGTTCCAGTTAAGAAGGGACAGAATTGGGAGGCTGAGGCAGGAGAATCCCAAAGTTGAAGGCCAGCTTGGGCCACTTAATGAGACACTACCTCAAATTTTTAAAATATAGGGGCTGGAAATGTAGCTTGGTGGTAGAGTGCTTGCCTAGCTTGTGCAAGGCCCTGGGAGGAGAAGAGGAGGAGGAGGAGGAGAAGGAGAGGAGTGGGAGGAGGAGGAGGAGGAGGAGGAGGAGGAAAGTCAAGGATTGCATTAGTGCATGGTGGACTATTGTGGAATGCCGCTGAAGGAATGACTGGCATTCAGGTTTTCACAGAATCCTTTCAACTCTGCTTTTCTTCTGTCTTCTCCCTTGTTGCCCACTGCCATGTCTCCACCTGGCAGCTATTGGCAGTTCCAGATTCTATCCCCTTTTTAAATCCATTAAACATAACTAAAAAGAACAAGAAGCGGCTGAGGAAATCGCACCCTCACTAAGTCAGTAGCCCTCATTTTAAAGACGATTCTGAGTCGACGGGCTCCTATCAGAAAGTAGATCCGCTTCTTTTAGAGTCAGACAGACCCTTGAGATGAGGTTGCCTCCCCTGTGGAGGCCTAATCTAATACTTCCATGTCCTTAACCCTGTATGAATTTATGCATGCAGTGAATTTACCCAAAAGTCTAACCTCAGGAAAAAAATGGAACATTGTCGAATCACTGACTTCAGTTCACAAATTGTCATCGATGGAAATTTTTCTGCAAAATCCATTACCTTCAGTAGAAAGGTACAGAGCAATGGTGGAAACTAACACTCTCAGCTCACTCCTGTCTTTGCCGTTGCTGTTCACTATCTTAGGATTTCCATAAGCAGGTCAATTTGTCAAGAAAACAATCAAAAGTGACCCAAATTGGAAAGGAGAGAGTAAAACTGTATTTTCTTGCAAATGACATGATTCTATATATAGAAAATCCCAGATAAACTATTGAAAAATATGAGAGCTAATAAACTCAGCAGAGTTGCAGGGCACAAAACCAACCCAGAAAAATAAGCTGTATTTTTATACATTAGAAATGAACAATCCAAAAAGAAAATCAAGAAAACAATTCCATTTACAAGAGCATCCAAAAGAACAGAAACTTAGCAATAAAACCGACCTATGAGGTGTACACTGAAAACTGTGAATCATTACTCAAAGAAATGAAAGAAGAACTAAATAAATGAAAAGACATCAGTGTTCATAAAAGGAAGACTTGATATTGTAAAGGTGACAGTACTCCCCAAAGACGTCTACACATTTAACGCAAGCCCTATCAAAATTCCCATGGCAATTTTGACAGAAATTTTTAAAAAGCCAATCCTCAAGTCCACATAGAGTAATAAGTGGCTCTGAATAGCCAAAACAATGAAAAATAAAGTCAGTAGATTCACACTTTCTGATTTTGAAACCTCTACAAAGCTACAAAACAATATAGAACTGGGAGTTTATCTCATTGGAGAGTGCGTGCCTAACATGAACAGGGCTCTGGATTTAATGACATGTTTACACACACACATACATACACACAGTAGCAGAATAAAGGTACACACATAGACCGATGGTATAGGATTAACAGGGCTGACATATGAGTTATAATATTTGTGGCCAGTTATTCTGACAAGGGTACCAAGATCATTCAATAGGGGAAGAACATTCTATTCAACAAATAGTTTTGGAAAAAACATATTATTAGGTATAAAAGAATGAAGCTGGACCCCTACCTCATTCCATGATCCAAAATTAACTTAGAGAATATCAATGACTTAAAGAGCTAAAAATATAAAGATATATATT